TGTTGTGGAAGCTCATCTGTGTCACATGCGTGTGGGTCTCACCGTGTGCCACAGACCACACCATCACTCACCCCCTCTCCTGGCCTGGTGCCTGCACACCCAGCCGTGTGTCTCCCGGGGGCCGTCCGTCTCCTTGACACTCAGCAGCGCCGGCCTCGGGCCAGGCTTCTCTCTCCTTTTCTCCTCCTCCTTCTTCCCCAGAGCCCTGCCCCGGGGCCTGGTAGCATGGAAAGGGCATCTTCTTAAAGAGAGGGTGGTTTTGTTCCCGTGGGGTCATGCTCCCCGTCCTCAGCACCTGCTTGTGCTGGCGACGAGCCCGCCTTGGGGCCTCTCTGCTATGAGGGAGCCAGGTCCCTTCTGAACACAGCTCCCCTCCCAGTATCCCCGAGCACCTCGCCACCGCATGCTTGTTGCGGGGCGGGGGTGGGTGGTCATGCACCCCTCAGAGCCACTCAGGACAGGGGTGAGAGGCAGAGAGGTGGAGGTAGGGGCAGAAGACGAGGCAGGTTCAGGGTACCATCTGGAGGGGAGGCCAGGGTGGGGGGCTGGTACTCGCCCACCCGGGAGGTAGGCGGAGCTGGAGGGGGACTTGGTAACCCCGAATCCTTGGCGGCTTGGCGGGCGCTGGTCCTGCCTGCCCTTTGGTGGCCCTTCTGGTGGGAGTGCTGGGCTCTCAGGGCACCTGGGGCCACTTGGAGAGTGGGAATGACAAATGGCTGACCAGGGCCTGTGGCGCCCACCCTCTGCCTGAGGGTCACGGTGTCGCCGGCCTGTCTGTCTGTCCGTCCTCGGCGCCCACAGCTCACCTTCGGCCGGGGGAAGGAGTACCTGAAGCACATCATGGAGGTTCACAAGGAGAAGGGCTATGGCTGCAGCATCTGCAACCGCCGCTTCGCCCTCAAGGCCACCTATCACGCCCACATGGTCATCCACCGCGAGAACCTGCCAGACCCCAACGTCCAGAAGTGAGACCCCGGGCTGGGGCGCACGAGGCTGGGCGGCTAAAGGGGCGGACGCCTTAGTGAGCCACCTGCAGCCTCCTGGCCAGGCTGTGAAAAGCACACCTGTGCGTTTGTCCTTTACTTCACAGTCCCCACCCTCGGCCCTGTCACCATCTCAACAAAACGCATGGCCGGGTGAGGCAACCTCACAGAAAAACTGGTGCAGTTCTTGGCCTGTCCCCCGAACACCCAAAACACCATCCCCCCGCCCTCCCAGCAGTAATTACCAAAAAAGGCAAACCAAACCCTTTGCCACGGAGTCAATTCTGACTCATAATGACCGTAGAGGACAGAGTAGAACTGCCCCATAGGGTTTCCAGGGAGCGCCTGGTAGATTCAACTGCTAGCCTTTATGGTTAGCAGCCGAGCTCTTAACCACTGTGCCACCAGGGTTCCCCGCAGTAATTAGGTCTCTTTAATGCTGGCCCCTACCTCTGGCACCCAGGTCACCCTCGGTGCTATCTGGGCAATTCGAGGGAATGAATAGTCGTAGTTAGAGACAGAATACATGGGTTTCTTATCATCCAGATAAGAAGCATTGGTGGCGCGGTGGTTAAAGTGATCCAGTGCTAACCGAAAGGCCGGCTGTTTGAAACCACCAGCGTCTCTGTGGGAGAAAGATGTGGCTGTCTGCTTCTGTAGAGATTTACAGCCTTAGAAACCCTGTGGGGTCGCTAGGAGTCGGAATCAGCTCCGCGGCAGTGGGTTTGTTTGGGAATCATCCCACCCATCCGTCATTTTTACCCACCTTTGCCGATGTGGGTGCTTAAGGAGAGTCCCGCGTCCTGCCGCGGGGGCCAGGGCCCAAGTGCCTTGCGTTTGTTTCAGGTACATCCACCCCTGCGAAATCTGCGGGCGCATCTTCAACAGTATCGGGAACCTGGAGAGGCACAAGCTCATCCACACAGGTGCGGGGTGTGGCCTTTGTCAGGTGACCGCGACCGCGGGGGAGGGGGTCGTAATGTGAGTTCTCGGGTGCATCCCTCCTCCCGGTAGGTGAGATCCCACCCCTTTCCCAGCTCCTCCTGTACCTGCCCCGTCTCCCCTGCACTGCCTACCTGGTCCTGCCCCTCCTTCGTCCGTCAGGGCGCCTCCCCGCCGGAGAGTGCGCGGAGGGAAGGGCTTGGGAAGCAAACCAAGAGACCCACGTGTCCTTACTGTGGTTCTTTGTCCTTTACAGCGTCTGTGCGCAAATCACAGGTGTGGATTTTGCAGCTTTGAAATCTGGATTTGTTTTGTTTTGTTTTTAAGGTGTGAAGAGCCACGCCTGCGAGCAGTGCGGAAAGTCCTTTGCCAGGAAGGACATGCTTAAAGAACACATGCGTGTGCATGACAACATCCGCGAGTACCTGTGCGCCGAGTGCGGGAAAGGTACGCGGGGCCTCGCGCCACGGACCGCGGCGCGCCCACCACAGCGCGGGAAACCGAGTCACAGTTAAACAGCTGGACCGAGCAGGCCAGCCTCTGGGGGATGTAAGAGAAAACGCCACCACGGCTGTGCCTACCAAAGCGTGGTAAAGTGAGTCACAGTGAAACGCTCTATGCACTGTGTGTAGGTCAGCTCCATAAGAGCAAAGGCTGCATTAAGCTCCTTAAAGGTGACTGTCAGTGAGAACATGGTATATAGCAAGATGTAAGAGTTGTCGCCAAAGCTGATCTGAGGTCAATCCATAGACTTAAACCATCTACTTGAAAAAAGAAAAGAAAAATGCGCCAAGTATTCAATTTAGGAATTTAGAAAATAAAGTAGTTCCAACAGCAAAAGACGTGATAAGTTTAAAGGCACAAATACATAATCTTAGAAGTGGGAAAACATAATAGGAGTCCCTGGATGGTGCAAATGGTTAAGTACTCAGTTGCTAACCAAAAGGTTAGAGGTTCGAATCCACTCAGAGGTGCCTCGGAAGGAAGACCTGGCGATCTACTTCCCAAAAATCAGCCATTGGAAACCCTATGGAGCACAGTTCTACTCTGATACACATGGGGTCGCCATGAATCAGTATCGACTCAACAAAACTGGTTTGGTTTAGAAGTAGGAAAATAATGCACCATATAAATGTGTAAAGGATAAAATCATCCTGAGAGCCCCAGAGGGCCTGAGAGTAGATACAGAACCCTCAGCACAGAAAATACTTCTGACTGGGATCAGCAGTGCATTAGGAATAATTCACCATGGCCAACGAAGCTTTTTTTTAATAACATGACATTGGTTAGATAAATAAAATCTACTAATAACACATCTCAAATCAGCAAGTGAAATGAGAAAAATCAAAGATAATCCCAGTACAGGCTAAAATTTCAACCCATTCCTGTTTTTTGTTTTATTTTTAAACTGTTTAAAAGACTTGGTATAGAAGGTCTGGCTTTGGCTTTTTCCGGTGGTGGCCAGATCCACCTGTATGGTAGGTAACCAAGACATCCCCGTTCAGGTGGGGAGCAAGCCAGGCTGCCTGCTTTGCCGTTAGGGTTTTTTAAAATTCTACGTGCCACCACCACCCGTCTGTCAGTGTGTCATACTGTGGTGGCTTGTGTGTTGCTGCGATGCTAGAAGCTCTGCCACCAGTATTTCAAATACCAGCAGGGTCACCCATGGTGGACAGGTTTCAGTGGAGCTTCCAGACTAAGACAGACTAGGAGGAAAGGCCTGGTGATCTACTTCTGGCAATCAGCCAGTGAAAACCCTATGGATCACATTCACACACACACAAATTGTACACTCCATAGTTTTATTGTTTCCTTTGATTTTTTTTAAATAACACAGGAACGTGTGAAGAAAATAAAAATAATTCCACCCGCTAGAAATCTTGATTGTTGTTGTTAGATGCTGTCCAGTCGATTCCGACTCATGGCACCCCCAAGCGTGCAGAGTAGAACTGCTCCATAGGGTTTCCAAGGCTGGGACCTTTTGGAAGCAGATCACCAGGCCTTATTAGCGTATTTGAAATAATTACTGTTGTTGCTAGGTGCCGTAGAGTTGGCTCCGACTCGTAGTGACCCTGTGTACAACAGAACAAAACCGCCTGGTCCTGCACCATCCTCACAATCGTTGTTATGCTTGAGCCCATTGTTGGAACCACCGTGTCAATCCATCTCACTGAGGGTCTTCCTCACCCTCACTCGCTCTCTACTCTACCAGGATGATGTCTTTCTCTGGTGATGGGTCCTCCTGATGCTGTGTCCAAAGTAAGCAAGACACAGCTTGCCATCCCCACTTCTAAGGAGCGTTCTGGTTGTAAAAACGGCAGTGTCAGACCTCCTCATCTTACTTCCCGAAGGGGGAGTTTAGTCAAGATCAGCCCAAAGCCGATTCCTGTGCAGTAGAGGTCAGATGTACCTCCACCCTTTTTACCAATTCTGACATCAGCCATCCCCACACGGCACTCTCTGCTTCCCTCCTGGATTTGATAATTAGTTGCAGTGGCCACACAGAACTCACCGACCATACTCACAATTATGGGGTTTATTAGGAAGTAACAGGTTACAGTTCAAGATCAGGATCAACTTGGAAGTAACAGGAATAATTCAGGATACAGTTCTTTGACCAGGACAGCTTCTTCTCAGGGCCTTGCTGCTGCCAGGACCTGCTTGGCTTCTTCTCCGCTGTGCCCACAAGCCAGCAGGCCTCTCTCTTGTCCTCGACTCTTGTTTGGGCCTGGCCTCTGCCCTGCTTGAGCAAGTGCTACAAAGCTCTTTAGTTCCACCAGTAAGTGCCCCAAGGCACCCCACTCCACCAACATGCCTCCTGCCAGAAGGTGCTCAGCTCTCTTGCTTTGTGGGCCTGGAATCCTCCCACACCATCTCTCGCTGGTCTCCTGATTCCGACTGTCTCACACCACTGCCTCCCACAGTGTTACAGCTCTCTCTGACTCCTGGGTCTAGGAGGTTCTCAGCACAGGGACCCCAGGTCCAAAGGATGCGCTCCTTGTTCTGCTTCTTGATGGTAGTGAGGTTCCCCTCAACCTCTGGGTTCTTTCTAAGCCTAGTGGTGTGGTTAGGCTGTGGGGTGGACTTTTTGTCTCTTCTCTGTGTTTTCTATGACCATGTAGTACTTTTATAATTTAGAATAAGTTCAACTGAGAATCTCATCTGGGACGGATGCTGGTGTGGGGCATGTGCAGTGCGGGCCAGCTCCCTCTATGCTCCTCATCACCCACCTGACTGACCTTGCCTTGAACAAACTGTGGTATCAGGGCTTAGAGCCTAAGTGCCAGCCGTGCCGCTCATAACAAAAGCAACCAGTTGCCGTGGAGTGGATTCTGACTCAGGATGACCCTAGATGGTGCAAATGGTTAATGTGCTCATCTGCTAACCAAAAGGTTGGAGGTTTGGGTCCACTCAGAGGTGCCTAGGAAGAAAGACCTGGCAATGTTTCTGAAGAAGTCAGCCCTGGAAAACCCTGTGGAGCACAGTTCTCCTCTGACACACATGGGGTCACTGTGGGTGCCATTCACAGCCTGGGGTAACTCCTAATGCTGAGGGGTGGGGGAGAGGAAGGGAACAGGCATGCTCCAGTCCTTTGGGGTAGAGTATAAATTAGTGGGGGTGGAGAGGGTCAGTCAGGCAGCGTCTACCAAAATTAAATGGACGCGTGTCCTGTTTATAAATACACATGGATGGTGTGTGAAGATATGTCCGAGCATGTTCTCCACAGCACTGCCCGTGGCAAAACAAGTGGGCACAGCCAGGTGGCATCAAATGAACGCTGGTACCTTGGCCTCAGGGCCTCTGGGCTGGCTGTTCCTCCAGCAGGGAATGCTGTTCCCCCAGTGACTCAGCTCTGCCCACTTCTTGCAATCTGAAGCAGCATCTTGCCCCTCTCTTTTTCCCCCCCTCCATTCCTCTCTCCCTGTCCCTGCTCACTCTTCTTTATCACCCACCCTCTGACTTAACAGCTCTATCTGCCTGTTTGTCTATCTTTCCCACTGAGAATGGAAGCCACCAGAGACCGGGGACTGTGGTTCGCTGCTCAGTGCTGGCGCTTGGAACCACGTGGTGACACGTAGTAGTGCGCAGGTGATGGTGGATGAATCGGTGCACACCACGAATAGTCTGTTGTTAGGTGCCATCAAGTTGGCCCCCAACTGATGGCGACCCCCCACCCAAGGGAACGGAACACGGCTCGGTCCTGTGCCATCCCCACGATCGGTTGCAGATTGGACCATTGTGATCCATAGGGTTTTCACGGGCTGAGTTTTAAAAGTAGATGGCCAGGTCTCTCTTCTGAATAGCATTTAGCTGTTGAAAACGGTGCAGTTGTCAGGTTTGTACTGGCTGGAATGGAAGTGCTCTGCAGCAGAAGCAGAAAGACAGTTTGGGGACCAGCATCAAACAGCACGGACGGAGGTGGCCGCATAGTGGAGGAGGTGTGGGCTGTGCAGCCAGCTGGGCTTGTGGGGCCAGAAAAAGCTGCCCGGATGTGCACAGCGGAGGTTGTGCGTGTGTGCGGCCTGCCTCTAGAGGGCGGGACCTCTGATGGCCTGAATTTGTTTTTCACTATGCGTATTGGTTATTTAAGCAAAGTGATTTTTTTTTTTCTAGGAAAAAGCTCTTTCATAGTTGGCAATAGCCCCACACGTGTCCTCCCCACTCCCGTAACATTTTTCCCAGTTGCTCAAGTCCGTTCTTGATGCATGACAACCCCAGGTATGTCAGAGTAGAACTGCGCTCCATAGGGTTTTCAATGGCTGCTTTTTTGGGAAGTAGATCACCAGGCCTTTCTTCGAGGCAACTCTGGGTGGACTCCAACCTCCAACCTTTTGGTTTGCAGCCAAGAGCATGCGCCTCCCAGGGACTCCCCCCCAGTAACGTAGGAGCCTATCTGTTTCTGTGTTTACCAGACAACATGGACTTCATGCCAGAGACTTCAGTGCCCTCTACTGGCTCAACAGTGTCAATTTCTCGTGGCTTTGCACAGATGGTACCCCGGCCGTTTTACCTCTTCCAGGTTTTAGGATTGGCAGGGGCTGGTGGAAATTCACCTCCACATCACCTAAGACATAGGGTTTCCAAGGTAACCGGGTAGAGCAAATTGAGTTGGAAGGGAACTGCTCACAGCGTAAGAGAGATCTGTTTTCAAGCACAGGCGTTGTCCTACCGTGACTAGCGGGGGTGATCATAGCTGTGGTCTGAGTGCGCAGAGACGCCTCCCCGCCCACCACGCGAGGGGTTGGCCACAGGGTTGTTTTCTGGAGTGACTAAGGGTCCGCAGTAACATGCCCTCTGCTTCGTGGTGGGGCCTTTTGCAATCCACAGGGCTGGTCTCTAAGTTTCCCCGGGAATCACTAGCACTGTCTCCTCTGGGACTCGTGAGCTGGGACTGGGCCCACCGGGAGTGAACTCCTGAGCCACTGACCCTGTGTCTGGGTGCCCGTCACCCACAACCTCCTGTAGCCATCACACGAGGCCTTCCTGGGCAACACTGGCTCGCATGGACGGTGTTCCTGCCGTGTTCAGACTCCTTCCAGCTCTGATCCAAACCCTGTACCAGTGTCCATGCTGTCTCTGTTGATCTGAGTAGTTGTAGCTTTTTTCACCTCCTTAAGATTGTTGACTTGACGGCACTCAGCAACAACAACACAACAAGATTGGCTTTGTCAAGTTAAACTAAACATAAGTTGGATATCAGTATTAAACCATTTAAACCATGCCAGTTACCAGCTGCTGTCTAGTCCACTCTGACTCATGGCGACCCTATATGTGTCAGAGTAGGACTGTGCTCCATGGGGTTTTCAGTGGCTGATTTTTTGGAAGTAGATTACCAGGCCTTTCTTCCGAGGCACCTCTGGGTAGACACAAACCTCTAGCCTTTTGGTTGTAGTTGAGCGCTTAACTGTTTGCATCACCCCGGGACTCCCTTTAAACCATAGAGTGTCTTATGTCAGTGGTCTTATTCCTAATTATAATTAATATGTATGTTATCAAGATCAAGAAGAAGCCTTGGTCAGACTTTTACATATCTGTATTTTGACTTAAGAAGTTATTTAATTGGGTCACAATGGTGAAATGTGTGTGTTGAGTGACAGCTGCTATCATTGCATACACATCCTGTGCCAGCCTCGGCACCTTACAGAGGAGCGTGTATAGATCTCACCCATAAATCTCCAGCGGCCTCTTAGGGTGCTGGCTTCCCAGGGTCTCGTTGTGGGTAGAGCAGGGAGTCTGTCATGGAGATGAGGCTCCTCGATCTCCCTCTTTCTCCGCACCAGCCCCGTGCTTCCTGACAACTGGGCCTGCTAGAGCTGATGAGCTGGGCACCGTTCATGGGACACCGGGTTGGGTGTCCTCCTGGGGTCAGAGTGGGTTGGGTGTCCTGGGGTCAAAGTGGGTTCGGGTTTGGCCATACCAGGGTCAGAGTGGGTTCGGGCGTACTGGGGTCAGAGTGGGTTCGGGCATACCGGGGTCAGAGTGGGTTCGGGCGTACCGGGGTCATAGTGGGTTTGGGTGTACCGCGGTCAGAGTGGGTTCGGGCATACCAGGATCAGAGTGGGTTGGGTATCCTGGGGTCAGAGTGGGTCAGGCGTACCAGGGTCAGGGTGGGTTGGGTGTCCTGGGGTCAGAGTGGGTTGGGTGTCCTGGGGTCAGAGTGGGTTCGGGCATACCAGGGTCAGAGTGGGTTGGGTATCCTGGGGTCAGAGTGGGTCGGGCGTACCAGGGTCAGGGTGGGTTGGGTGTCCTGGGGTCAGAGTGGGTTCGGGTGTACCGGTGTCAGTGGGTTCGGGCGTACCAGCGTCAGAGTGGGTTCGGGCGTACCAGGGTCAGAGTGGGTTGGGTGTCCCGGGGTCAGAGTGGGTTCGGGCATACTGGAGTCAGAGTGGGTTGGGTGTCCTGGGGTCAGAGTGGGCTGGGTGTCCCGGGGTCAGAGTGGGTTGGGTGTCCTGGGGTCAGAGTGGGCTGGGCATCCTGGGATCAGAGTGGGTCGGGCATACCGGGGTTGGGGTGGGGTCTGGCATCGCAGGGTCAGGCATCCCCACGTGGAATGCAGGGTCGGGCGTGTTCCAGGGTCACTCTGGCCTAGGAGGCCAGCTGACACCCCAGCCTGCTTCCGCCCCCCAGGCATGAAGACCAAGCACGCGCTGCGCCACCACATGAAGCTGCACAAGGGCATCAAGGAGTACGAGTGTAAGGAGTGCCACCGCAAGTTCGCCCAGAAGGTCAACATGCTGAAGCACTACAAGCGCCACACGGGTGAGCGCCAGGGGCCCGGGCCCGCGGGGGGGTCTCCCCTCAGAGCGCGCTCTCTGAGCTCAAAGCAAACGCGCGTGGTAGTGAAGCAGGCGCCGTAAAGAGAACCGCCTCCCTGTTCTTCGTTTTCTTTGCAAACCCAGCTGCCGCTGAGTTAGTTCCGACTCAGGGCCCCGTGTGTGTCAGAGTGGAATTGTGCTCCAGAGGGTTTTCAGCGGCTGATTTTTTTTGGCCTTTCTTCTGAGGCTCCTCTGGGTGGACTCAAACCTCCAACTTTTTGGTTAGCAGCCGAGTGCTTCACCGTTTGCACCACCCAGGGACACCTCATTTTCTTTAGACGCCCAATAAGCTTCAGGTGTTCTGGGTAAGCCTCACGGGAGTTGTGGCTAAGTAGCTACATTTCTCCGAAAGCTTCCCTCCCTGTCAGGACTCGTTTACATTCAATACAGTACGCGTGTCCATTGTCCATGTCACCATTACAGTCAATACAGTACACGTGTCCATTGTCCATGTCACCATTACACTCAGTAAAGTGCACTTGTCCGTTATCCATGTCACCATTACAATCAGTAAAGTACACGTGTCCATTGTCCATGTCACCATTACACTCAATAAGGTACACATGTCCATCATCCATGTCAGGAGTAGACACTGCAGCACAGCTCGCCATCCGGCATTTGGTAATGTCTGTCAGTTCTTAAATATTCTTCCCACCGACCCAACCCCTTTCCCTCAAGGAATGTGTGCACGAGGAAGACAGGTGCATGAGATGTGCATGCCAGAATGTTTATCATGTCCTTGTCGATAGTAGAGGAACTTGGAAATATCCCAAGTGTCCATTAGCACAGCAATGGCTAAATTATGGTGTATCCACAAGCAGACAAATGCATCTGTTTAAAATGGTTATAGATAAAGGTGTGTGTATGTGTGTGTGCGTACATATGCATAGGTACATGTCTGCGTATATGTGTTACATTTGTGTGTATATGAGTGTGTATATATGTGTATGTGTGTGCATGTCTGTATATGTGTGTATACATGCACATGTATATGTGTCTGCATATGTGTTATATTTGTGTATACATGTGTATATGAGTGTGTATGTGTGTGCATATGTGTGTGTATGTGTGTATGGGCAGTCTGTATGTGCGTATATATGTGTGTGCATATGTGTGTGTATTTGTGTATGTGTGTATGGGCATTGTATATGTGTGTATATGTGTGTGTATACATGTGCGTGTGTGTGTGTATATGTGCGGGGGGGAGATCTCTGGTGGCGTAATGGTTAAGAGCAACACCTGCTAACCAAAAGGTCGGCAGTTTGAATCCACCAGCCCCTCCTTGGAAACCCTATGGGGCAGTTCTCCTCTGTCCTATAGGGCCGCTATGAGTCAGAATCAACTCAGTGGCAACGGGTTTGGTTTGTTTTATGTGTGTAAGTGTGCGTATATACGTGTGTATATGTGTGCAAATATGTGTGTGTGTGTCTCCCTGGGTGGTGCAAACAGTTAACATGCTTGGCCCGCCTGCCCACCGCCTCCCCCCTCCTCCCGCAAGAGGCCAGCCACAGCTCTGTGTCCCCACAGTGCCCAGCCCTCCATAGTCCCCGGCTTTCTCCAAAGGGTGCTCACCTCTGTGTTCCCAGAGCCCCTGGCCAGTGTTCGGGTCTCAGCTCAAGTTGGGAAGTATCCTGGCTCCCCCAGTTCTGGACTGTGTGCCCTCCTCTAGACTCACATACCCCCACAGTGGGGCCTGCCACCACACAGACCCACTGTGTAGGAAATGCTCTACCCCATCTGTCCTCTGCCCCTGCATCAGAGCGCCCCAAGGAGGCGCCATAGCTGCCCTGGGCCCTGAGTGCTCATAGATCTTTATGGGACTGAATTAACTTACCTTTTAAAATCGTTTTTCTTGTTCCCATTTGGGGAAAGAAACCTTTGCTGAAAAGGTGTGACAAGGGTTCACTTGCCCATTTGGAAGGGTAAATCAGACCGCTGTTCCATTCTTGCTCGCACGGCACTGGCCTCAGACAGCTGTCAGCACTGGGGGGAGCAGAGGGAGACCTGTCGCATTTCATAGATGTAGCTTCTGCCTTCTCAGACCTGAGCCAGTGGAGGGTAAATTCATGACATTGGGTTCTGCTTATTCTAAATGTGTGGTCAGTCCAGGCCCTGGACCCTTTCTGGGGACAGCGCTTGCTAGGCCCCTGCGTGGCAGTGCCCATTCCAGGAGAGACCGGCAGCTTTCCGGCACCTGCTCTATAGGTTTGGGTTCGGGCCCCGGGCTGGGCTCTCAGGCTGAAAAAGGGTCATTGTGTACTCTGGGGCAGTGGTACCTCAGAGTGTCCTGGGACCCATCAACTTCTTCCTATGGTATGCCCTTTAAACTTGATTTTTGTCGTTGTTTTTAATTGGCAGTATTCATTCTTGGTGTTCATTTATCTGAATCACCCAGGAGGCTGGGTAAAATTACCACTTTTTGATTTCTTCCCCAGACTTGCCCAGACTCTTCCAGGCAGAGCCCAGGCCTGCCATTTTAACCCTCTGGATTTCCCACATCCTCTGGATGGGTTCCATGTCTAGTCTGGAAAATAGCAGCCTTTTATTGGACTATCTGTAAGGCCCTTCCCTTCCTAGTATCCCTCTAACTGGTGATTCTTTTAGACAAAGCCTGTTAGGCCAGAATACCTGTTAACTTTGGGATGCTTCCTGGTGCCACAGGGAGTGGCAGGATGATGGACATATATATTTTTTTCTTTTTTCATCTGTGTACTGGTTATATATAATCTCTTCACTTGGTGAAAATATATCAAGCTGTTCCCATGATCTGTCTGTCTCTCTGTATGTAGGTTTGACTTCTATTTAAAGTTTCCTTAAAATAAACAAACAAGCTGGTCTTGCCCTGGACTTTGGAGGGACTCTTTCAGCCTCTGGGATTCATGGCCTCTTCCCACAAGAGGGCATCTTAGAACCCACATCCATCCATGTGTGACCACAGTAGGGGATTAAGACACTCTGGTATCCATTTGTTACAGCAGATTTCCTGGGTAGTATCTGTTATCCAGTCCCATGGGACTAATTCGTGGTCCAGCACCTGTCATCCTAGCAGACAAAAGTCAAGTCATGCTGGAGTTTTTTGTTTTTTAAGTGTATTACATAATCATGGCAATTCTTTTACCTCTTATGCTTGGCATATTTATATTCTCTTCATATTTGGCCCTAACGTTCGATTACTATCTTACTCTGGCGTTATATGTATCATTTAAGCTGCCTGAAAACTTTTGTGGGTGAAAGGAGGTACAGATAAATGAATACTTTCTAAAAATAGTTTGTTCTTTTTAACGTGGGTTCTGCCCTACACATGTGCTTTCAGACAAGCCTTCCCACATCATGTAATTTTTTAATATGAAATTTCACCATAGAAGGGTACGTTTTTCAAGCCACAGTCTTCTGGTTGAGTTTGGAAGTGAATGTTTATTGTCTGTTGTCTTCTGGCCATTTACCTTCCACCAAAGGCTTGCTGTTGTTACGTGCGGTCAAGTCCATTCCAGCTGATAGCCACCCTGTGTACAACAGAACGAAATACAGCCTGGTCCTGCATCATGCTCACGATCATGGCTGTGTTTGAGCCCATTGTTGCAGCCACTGTGTAGACCCATCTTGTTGAGGGTCTTCTTCTTTTTTGCGGACCCTCTACTTTACCAAGCATGATGTCCTCCAGGGACTGGTCCCTCCTGATAACATGTCCAAAGTACAGGAGATGAAGTCTCCCCATCCTCGCTTCTAAGGAGCACTCTGGCTGTACTTCTTCCAAGACAGGCTTGTTTGCTCCTCTGGCGGTCTGTGGTATATTCAGTATTCTTCACCTACATCATAATTCAAATGCATCAATTCTTTGGTCTTCCTAATTCATTGTCCAGCTTTCACATGCATATGAGGCTATTGAAAATATGATGGCTTGGGTCAGTTGCACCTTAGTCCTTAAAGTGACGTCTTTGCTGGAAATTATGCCACCAATATTTCAAATATGAGCAGGGTCGCTCACGGTGGATAGACTTCAGTGGAGCTTCCAGGCTAAGACAGACTAGGACCTGGCCAAAGGCTTACAAGCACTAAAATATGTCAGGAATAAGAAATCCTCAGTGGTGGCTCAGTGGTAGAATTCTTGCCTCCCATACAGGAGACCCAGGTTTGATTCCCAGCCAATACACCTCATGTGCAGCCACCACCCATCTGTCAGTGGAGGCTTGCACGTTGCTATGATGCTGAACAGGTTTCAGTGGCGCTTCCAGACTAAAACACACTAGGAAGAAAGGCCTGGCAGCCTGTTTCAGAAAATCAGCCAGTAAAAACCCTGTCGATCACAACGGTCCGATCCCATTGTGCATGGGGTTGTCATGAGTTGGGGTCCAACTCAATGGCAACTAACAGCAACCTCGACAATGGTTAGTTAAATGAAACACTAAACACCTGAAATTACATGTGCCTTTTTCCTGCAGGGATTAAAGATTTCATGTGTGAATTATGCGGAAAGACTTTCAGTGAGAGAAACACAATGGAGACCCACAAGCTCATCCACACAGGTAAGCCTGGCACGGTCTGAGAGAATGTTCATCCCGCACGGCTACAGGGATGAAAGGGACTATGCTATTATTGTAGAATGTAGACTTTTTCAGAACCCTCAGTGCAATCTTGGTTTAATGATGGCCCTTGCCTCTTACGGATCAGCCCCCTTCAGCTTGCAAATATGCATTCCTGAATTTGCAAATACTGGGGCAGTGACGCAGCTGATCGCAAACATTCTGTGTGCAGGACGAAGGCCACCTCTTGGGGTTTGTTTCGGGTCCCCTGCTCCTCCTTTCGGAAACCCTGGTGGCATAGTGGTTAAGTGCTACAGCTGCTAACCAAAAGACCGGCAGTTTGACTCCACCAGGCGCTCCTTGGAGACTCTATGGGGCAGTTCTGCTCGGTCCTGTAGGGTCGCTGTGAGTCGGAATTGACTCGACGGCAACAGGGTCGGTGTTTTGGTTTTGGCTCCTCCTTTCTGGGCCTGACGGGGACAGAGGGTAATAAAGAACGAGACCGAGACCCTGGGCAGTGGTCGGTGGGGAGCCGGGGACAAGCTGCCTTCGTGACCTGCCTTTTCTCTTCCTCCCTGTGCGCGTGCGCATGCGCGCAGTGGGCAAGCAGTGGACGTGCTCAGTGTGTGACAAGAAGTACGTCACCGAGTACATGCTGCAGAAGCACGTGCAGCTCACCCACGACAAGGTCGAGGCACAGAGCTGCCAGCTGTGCGGGACCAAGGTGTCCACCAGGGCCTCCATGAGCAGACACATGCGGCGTAAGCACCCCGAGGTAAGCCTGCTGGGCGCCTGGCTCCCCCTCCCCGGCCCTCCGGGCATGGTTCTGGCCCTTCATGCTCAGGAGAGTGGACCTCTCCCTCCTTTCTGCCACCACCACCTCAGACATAGGTACTGCTGCTGCTGGGTCACACACTAAGCAGCTCCTCTCCAGACCCTGGGCTCCCCAGGCAGGGCTGTGTCTTACGCTTCCCTCTGAATTCCCGGCCTTGCCACTAGGGGGCACTGCATGTACGACTAGAATAGAAGAACCTCAGACGTATTTTTTGCTAAGGTTAAAAATGATGCACTCACTGGATAGATAGCAAGATGGAAGTGCAGCCATGCCCCCCCGCCCCCCATTCTTCCCTTTGAAGTAACTGATAAAATGTGCAGATAGGGGGCCTCCACGTGGCATGAGAGCAGTAGGTAAAAGCGGGGCATTGAGGCCTGAGAAATGGTGCAGGAAGCGAGGAGAGCCCAGCATGGCCAAAACCAGCCCCAGAAGAAGTCCGAGGCCATTGAGTAACTCAGTGTGCTTTAAGAAGAAGCGAGCTGAAAAAACAGAACTAGAAAAAAATGCAGCTCAATAGCTGCCGAACCAAAAAAACCAAACTCATTGCCATCAAGTCGATTCCAATTCAGAGCGATCCTATCGGACAGAGTAGAACTGCCTGATAGGGTTTCCAGGGAGCAGCTGGTAGATTCAAACTGCTGACGTTTTGGTTAGCAGCTGTAGCTCTTAATCACTATGCCACCAGGGCTCCAAACAGCTACCCGGTCACTGAAAGGGAAAGGCTTTTAAAAGCAATAAAAGAAGTCACAAAATATCAGTAGATTTGACTATGTAAGCATTTAGAACTTCTGGAGGTAAAAGAATTCAAAGGACAAACGGATGTAAGTAAGATATTAACATCTTTAACAGATAAAAACTGTTAATATTAACAGATAATACTTTCCAGCAAGTGGAATATGAAGAACCCAGTGTGTACGCAGAGAGACAGTTCATGAAGGAGGAAATGAGCATCGCTAATAAGCACACAAAAAAGCCTTCAGCCTTTTATTAATCACAGAAATGTTTACAGCAGAAATGTCATCCTCTGCCTGTTGAATTAGCAGAGGTTTTTAGATTCGAGATGATCGTGCAGGCCGGCTGGCATGAGTCAGGCACTGCTGTGGTTTGGTGTTTTTCTGGAAGAAAAGTGTTTTCTGAATCATTATTTGCACCCCTTGGTGTCCAGCAATAGGGACGTGGTTAATAATAGTTTAGTGACATGCTTGACTATGTAAACATGCTTATGGAAAGTGCTAAATAAAATTGGGACATGCTCATTATGTAAATGAGCACAGCAGCATATATTGTGTGTAAACACGGTGTTGTGTATATTGTGAATACATGAAATATACTACAGGGGTGAAAGAAGAAAGAAAACATTATACAGAAGTTTTCTTCTAGTATTGAAGTCTTGGGTAATTTCCGTCTTCGTATTTTTCTCTCCTTTCTCAAATTTCCTTTAATGAACACAAATTACTTTTGCAATTGAAAATAGCACAATCTGCTCCGAGTATAAACCCAGCGGCTCCTGAACTTGGAGATCATCACTGTACTTTTCGTTCTGAATGTCACCGTGTTC